TCTTTTCTACAGAAGGAGGCTTATCTCTAGGTTTTAATGCACCTTGACCCCAGGCTCAGCTCTGCTCATGTAAGCTTTTTCTTTGCATCTTTTGTGTATGATATTTAGAGCATCACCCTGTGATCAACTTGTTTTTCTGACAAATGGTACCTCACATCTAGTGCACTGTGTCTGTTTTAAATCAGGACTTCATTCAGACAGACAATGTCACCAGTTCATTTGCTGAGCTGTAAACACTTATATCCCTTCAGAAAACATGTAGAAATGGCCCAGTGTTTTTCTATTGATTAGGCCACCATCTGATGATTAAGCTTTCAGCAGGGCATGTTTCATATTTTTCTTCTTCCAGCAAATTCAGCATTACCACCTACAGAATTTTGAGAATCAGAGGACCCAAATTTAAGGTGATTGGCAGAAGATCCGTCGGCAAAATCAGGAAAAAAATGATTCCAGGCAGCAAAAAGGTTGGAAACTGGAACACACTGCCTGTGAGCTTGGTCAAACTATGGCTTTTGAAAAGGTGTTCGACAAGCATTTGAGGAGAAAAGGGCATTGTGTAGGGTCACAGGGAAAAAGCTGGGGAGTGAGTGAAATACTCATGTGGAGAACCAGCACTGACATGATGGGCTGAATGGTGTCTCTTTGCTCTGAAATCATTCTGTGATTTTATTTCATTTAAAAGCAATGTGACGAATTTTAACGAAGCAATGTGTAACAGGTAAACAGTATTTAATGCTTCCGCTGCCCTGCCTTACACTACAACTGCGGCAGTGATAAAAGGAGGCATTAAAGAGAGCATTTGTGGAAAACAGTTTCAGCAACAGAGGCAACGCTGATTACAACACAATAAACTGACCAGAATAAGCAAAAACAGGCCATCCATAAACTAGAATAAATATGGTCCATAAGTGGAAATACTCCATTTCAAACTGCCAGGTGTTTCCACAGCAGAATGGGAGTGTCCTACCCAATCCAAAAGTTGGAAATGGGAAGAAGGCGAGAGAGGAGACAATAGTACAGAGCGGATTGTGCTTCATTGTGTGTCGTAGGCTGGCCCTTCTAAATTAAATTGATGCTACTGAGAATCTGTGTAACCCTAACAATCATCGAGTGAGGTACAGTACACTCAAAAAGAAAACTCTACTCTCGCCGAAATAAACCAAAAGATGCTGCAAATGATTGGCTCAGTCTGGCAAAACCAGCAAAGCAGACAGGCAGGCACGCTACCGTTTGGAACACTGGAAGCCTTTAGTGTTATGGTGCACGTTAATATTGACGAAACCTTCACTGACCAAACATGCCTGGTGATGCCAATGCATACAGGGCTGTGGGGCAAAGGCTGGGAAGTGGGATTAGAGTAGTTAGGTGGCTGTTTCTGACCAATCAGGATGCAGTGGGCCAATGTAGAGCTGTACGAATCTAAAGTGCTGAATCGCCTCCTTTTGCCCCACAACACTTCTGTGATTTTGAAGGGAGAATGCAGGCTAATGACTGTGCGCTTATTTCTGAATGCGCATTCCCATCCTATCTTCCCAAAAAGAAAGGGGGGAGATCAGTTTGGGACACCTTGCAGGGAGGTTGAATGGCCTCTTAGCTGAGGAGAAATGTAGGTACACAGGGGGCAATTCAGAGGAGGTTTACTAGATTCCAGAGGTAAGGGGTTTGCTTTATGAAGAGAGATTGAACAGTTTAGGCCTATACTCACTAGAGTTAGGAGAATGAGAGGAGATCTAATTGAGGTGTATGAGACACCAAAGGGGATTGACAAAGCAGATGTGGAGAGGATATTTCCTCATTTGGGGCAATCTGGAACAAAAGACCATGGTTTTAAGATAATGGGTGGCATATTTAAAACAGAGATGCAGAGGAATTACTTCTTTCAAAAGGTCACAAATCTGTGGAATTAACTGTCCCAGAGTGTGGTGGATGCCAGGACATTGGGTAAATTTAAGGAGGAAATCAACAGATTTTTAAAGATTGAAGGATCACGGAGAATGGGCAGAAAAGTGGAGCTGAGGCCGAGATGAAATCGGTCCTGATTTTATTGAACGGGGAGCAGGCTCGGAGGGCTGAATGGCCTACTTGTATTCCTGGTTGTTATGTTCTTGTGTCCTGCACCAAAACACTTCTGTGATTTTGGAGAACACAGGCTGATGACATGATGACAGCATGCAAAAGGCTTATTTTGCTGCATGCATTCCCATCCTATCTTTCAAAACAGAATTTGAGACAGCTCAGAGGAAACTGAACCTTTTAAACTCAGGCACTTTTTGGCTCCGGTGCAGATAGAGTGGGCTGAATAGCCTTCTTCTGCACTAAACACTTCTGTAATTTTCATATTATATGGTGGAGTAGGCTCAAGGGACTGAATTGTTTACTGCTGCTCCTAGTTTCTATAAATGCAGGCTGATGACAGCATCTGATCAAAGGCTTCTTGCTTAGCATGTATTCCCAGCCTATCCCAGTCATCCATTTTGGTAGGAATAACAGCAAAATGGACTATGTTTTAAATGGTAAAAAATTGCAGCACGCTACTGTGCAAAGGGACTTGGGTGTCCTTGTGCATGAATCGCTGAAGGTGGGATTGCAGGTGCAGCAGGTGATTAAAAAGGCAAATGGAATTTTGTCTGCCATTGCTCGAGGGATGGAGTTTAAAAACAGGGAGGCTATGCTGCAGCTGTATAGGGTCCTGGTGAGGCCACACCTGGAGTACTGTGTGCAGGTTTGGTCTCCTTACTTGAGAAGAAATATACTAGCACTGGAGGGGGTGCAGAGGAGATTCACTCGGTCGATTCCAGGGTTGAGAGGGTTGGATTATGAGGAGAGACTGAGTAGACTGGGATTATACTCATTGGAATTCAGAAGAATGAGGGGAGATCTTATAGAAACATACAAGATTATGAAGGGAATAGATTAGGTGGAGGCAGGGAGGTTGTTTCCGCTAGCAGGTGAAACTAGGACTAGAGGGGATAACCTCAAAATAAAGGGAAGCAGATGTAGGACTGAGGTCAGGAGGAACTTCTTCACCCAAAGGGTTGTGAATCTGTGGAATTCCCTGCCCAGTGAAGCGGTTGAAGCTACCTCGCTGAATGTTTTTAAGGCAAGGCTAGATAAATTTTTGAAAAGTAAAGGAATTAAGGGTTATGGTGAGTGGGCAGGTAAGTGGAGCTGAGCCTCAAAGATCAGCCATGATCTTATTGAATGGCGGGGCAGGCTCGAGGGGCCAGATGGCCTACTCCTGCTCCTAGTTCTTACGTTCTTATCTTCCAAAAAAACCAGAATGATTGATTTGGGACAGGTTGCTGGAAAGTGGACCTCTTAAATCTGGGCATTTTTGTTTGCCTAGGTGCAGATACAAGGGCTGGATGGCCTCCATGTGCACCAAAACCACTTCTGTAATTTTTGAATTACAACAGCTGACAACAGCCTGCAAAAGGCTTATTTCTGTATTCCCATCCTAAGTTCCATAATGAAGGGGAGATTGATTTGGGACAGCTTGGAGGAACATAGATCGTTTAAAGCATTGTAGACATGATGGGCCGAACGGTCTCCATCTGCACCAAACCAATTCTGTAATTTTGGAAGGGGAAAATGCAGCGTAGTTTAAGGATGGCACGGTGTCTCAGTGGTTGGCACTGCTGGCTCATCGCACCAGGGACATGGGTGCGATTCAACCCTCAGGCGACTGTCTGTGTGGAGTTTGCACATTCTCCTCCATGTCTGCGTGAGTTTCCACTGGGTGCTGTGGTTTCCTCCCATAGTCCAAAGATGTGCAATTTAGATGGATTGGCTGCACTAAATTGTCCACAGTGTCCAGGGACGTGCAGGTTAGGTGCATTAGCCATGGGAAATGCAGGGTGGGATTGGGTAGGACAATGGGTCTGGGTGGGGATGTTGGTCAGAGGGTTGGTGTGGACTTGTTGGGCCGAATGGCCTATTTCCACATTGGGGATGTTAACGAATAATGACGGATGACTGCAATGCAAAAGCCTTATTTCTCAGCATGCATTCCCATCCGAAGTTTCCTAATGAAGGGGAGAGCTTGCAGGAACCTGGATCTTTTAAAACTGGGCATCCTCTGGCTGAGTTGCAGACACAGTGGGCCGAACGGTCTCCATCTGCACCAAAAACACTTTTCTTATGATTTTGGATAAGGGGAGGGGGGGAACGCAGGCTGACGACTGCAATGCAAAGGAAAAGGCTGATTGTGCAGCATGCATTCCCATCCTGTCCTCCAAAACGGATGGATTGGGAACAGCTGGCGTCCAGTCAGACCTTGCAGCACCTTTGCATTTTGTGGGGAATGTAGTGGGGTGGATGGGGGAAGAGAGAGAAAGAGAGAGCTCAGGTTTACCGCACCTGGCCCAGCCCAGCGAGCTTTAAGCATGACATCATCCCCCCGGCAGGATCCCGCCCTCCAGCCGCCGCCCTATTGGCCGCAAGCTTGCCGGGTCCCACCCCCTTCCGATTGGCCGCCGCGGCTGTCACTCAGGATGATTGACAGCCCGGGGCGCTCCTGCAGCTGATGAGACTGAGCTCCAAGTTGGGAGTTAAAGGTAGGCGGGCATTGCAGGGACGGATTCTGGGAACCTTATCTCCCTTTTTTTTCAATGGGAAGTAGTGGATGAGTGAGAGAACCTGTCTAATTTCTATTTTTACATGGTGGGGGAAGGGGGGGATTTAATTGCATTAGCCTGAAATTCTCCCCCCCCCCCCCCCCCCCCCCCC